TGGAGGTTGCTGTGAGCTGTAATGCCACGGCACTCTACCCAGGGGGACAGCTTGAGGCTCTGTCTCAAAAAAAAAAAAAAAAGCTTCTGAATAATGTGCTTTTCTCTGATTGCGGGATAGTTTCTACCCATGTTTCATGTTTCCAATCTTAAAAGTCATCTTTCATGTTACAGAACTTTGATGTAGCTGAACGAGAGGGAACTATTTTAGGTAAAATAATTACAGTTTGTTTGAGCCAAGGATTCAGCATCTTTGTTGTGAGTGGCAATCATAAGAAGTGATTCAGGGTCTGTTCTCAGTAATGGATGTGGCAGTATTAACTGGGCCATCATATTTTGTCTTCCTTCTACTCAGCAGATGGTGAATCTCAGCAGAAAGCTTTATATCTATCATCCACTCGTCTGGGATTATAGGAAGACTCCAACATTTTACCACTCTAAGTAAAATCTGGCGAGGTTAATCCATTTTCAATTACTTTTCAGGTATAATATATAAAATCATAGGAGCCAGCAGTTACGGAAGAGTATGTAAATGGACTGTTTCTAATTTGGCTCCATTATTAAGCCATCATAATATGAAGAGCCATGACACACAGACACTCCTTCACTCTCACCTTAGAACCCAAGATGTTGGCAAACAAGACATTACTAAAGCACTGCCAATTTGTGGTGAAAGTTCAGAGACTATGGCATTTCTTTCAGGAGACAGGGGAGAAGTGAACAGGATTTAGGGGTGCCCTCCACCCTGGGTTGGATACTCCAAGGATCTCACCAGATGACACACACATGAAGTCCTGGCACAAGCACTTCCACAGTCTTCCATAAAGGAGAATGCTATCATAGCCATGTGGGGAATTGATACAGAAAACTTACAGGCATTAAAATTAACAGCACTCCACAGAAAAGCTTTCCACAAAACAGAACTAAAGTTATACAAAATGAATATTTAAAAATATTCTAGAAGTTGCTAACAAAATATGACGAAAATGAGTATTTTTGTGAACTTTAGAATCCTAGACATTTGGTTTCATCTATTTAGAAATTCAAATTTTCACATCAGTTTCTTTTTAAAGTGGGGCCACACCCACCCAGCTGGAGGCTGCTTTCTCAGTTCCTTCTACAAGTTCAGACACCCCAGTTTGTTCTCCTACAAATGCAAAGAAGATTTGATCTGGAGACGGGGCACAGACCCCAGCCGACTCCGCCTGCAGTGCACATCTGTTCCAGACACACAGTGGACTCCACAGGCCCTGAGCCTACCTCCTGACGTTTGATTTCCTTAGCTGTAAGCATCTGATTGACACACACGTCGAAGGTTTCACTCCACAGCTTGCTGTCTCTCCGCTTTGTGCTCGAGGGGGCGGCATTTCTGGACCAGGGTCGGGGGGCGAGGATATCAGGGCGGCTGTCGCTGCGGAAGCTAATGGAGCGCTAAACAATGAGAAAAACAACCATCACAAGGAGCAGAGGCAGGACTGGGCGGATGCTTGAGTAGCTTCCTTTTGCTGATAGGACATAAATCATACAATTGCAGGAAAAAGAGGACACTGCCACAATGCCTTAGGAACAAGGCATTGTCTTGAGCCCATGTGCTAAAGAAAATGGGACAGGGGGCTACCACACGTGCTGGAAGTATCTGTTCTGTGCCACTTAGATACTAAGCCTGGATAGCTTGAGCACACATCAAGCCAAACTCACCACAAAGGCAGGTCTTGGATAAATTCCCATCTCCAGAAGAACAAGGGATAAATCATAGATGGCCTTTATTTATTTCTTAAACATAGGGAGCACTCCCACTCTCCTCCACCAAGAACAGAATCTCAAGGTCTTTGGGTATTTCATCTCACATGGTTTGGGTGGGCTTCCCCAGATTGAATCAATTGGAGTATTCCACCACTACCTGAAATTTGCTATGTGACTTATGGGAGCAAAGGAGAAGGGACTTTGTTCCTTTGGGACTATGGGTTCAAGAGATATCCTAAGTAGGAGCTTCCTACAGCAATTCTCCCTAGTGACACAGAAGAATCTGCTAAAGGACAGAATAAAGGGAAAAAGAGAAAGAAGGATGAAGATGGTGAATGATGAGGGAGAAACGGAGCAAGCTTTACTGATACTACTTGAGCTTTAGATCCCTTTGTGTCTGGAGCTAGGAAGCCCCACCCTTGGACTTTTTAGTTACATGGGCTCACGATACATTTCCCTTTCTGTTTACAATTATTTTAGTTGTCAACTTGGAAAGTCACATACTAAATGCCATCTTGATAGCATATGATACCTGTCCCTGGGGTATTTTCATATTTTCCAAAGAGGATCCAGTAGACTTTGGGGTGGTGACCAAAACATGCTACCACAGTGCTTTCTCATGACAAATACGAATGATGAGCAAGAAGGCAAAGTGCATCACTTTCAGGCTTCATCCTAGGTTAGATCGTATTTCCTGGAAATTCTGCCAAAGTGATGAGGATTTGCTGTGCTCAAAAACTACATTCTTATTGAACAAGTATTCCCTGCCATGGCTCCTAGTGTTAGTCAGTGTGAAGTTCCGACTCACAGCCTTGCACAGAAGGCCTGGTCACAGTCTACATCCTGCCACTCACCCACAAGCCGCCGGTTCTCCAGCCATAATAGCCATCTGCCATTCCCTGAACTGTCATCTCTGCCATCCCTCTGTGCTTCCTTCAAACAATGTTCTCTTCTCGGAATGTGTTTCCTTCATTCCATAGCTGGATAACTTTCTTTAGGATAGAACTCACATAGCATCTCCCCTAGGAAGGCTTCACCAGTGTTTTCCCATTCTCTCTAAAGAGCAATTTGGACCACCTCTGATACAGCAATGATCAAATGTTATTACACTTACTGGTCACCTGTTCTTAGCCAGAAACTTCCTGAGGGCAGGAACTGATTTCTGCATGTGACATACGAGTTGTCATCATAAAGACATCTAAGGTAGCTCCTATTTTGAGATTCAACAATAAACTTCCAGAAAGGAAAGGAATTTTTTAAAAGAACTATTCAAGGTTCAGTGCCTGTAGCTCAGTGGTGAGGGCACCAGCCACATACATTGGGGCTGGCAGGTTTGAACCCGGCCCTGGCCTGCTAACCAACAATGACAACTATAAAAAAAAAAAAGCCAGGTGATGTGGTGGGCACCTGTAGTCCTTGCTACTTGGGAGACTGATGCAAGAGAATCGATTAAGCCCAAGAGTTGGAGGTTGCTGCGAGCTGTGATGCTACAGCACTCTACCGAGGACGACATAGTCAAGACTCTGTCTCAAAACAAACAAACAAAAACAAACAAAAAAAGAACGATTCAACATAAGATCATTGTTAAATAAGTTACAATTACCTGCTGGATAGAATATTACTTAGCCAATAAGATGATTCTAAGATAACTGAACAGCTAAAAATCCCTTCTATGTAAGTTAAAATAAAATCTGGATTAAAAATATGTGTATGAGTGCTTTATAGTTATGCAAAAAATGCACATTACCAAAGATCTAAAGCAGGAGTCCTCAAACTTTTTAAACAGGGGGCCAGTTCACTGTCCCCAGGACGAGTCGGCTGCTAAGCAGGACAGGCAGCAGTGGCAAAAGCACCCAGTGGGCGGGATAAATGTCCTAGGCAGGCCGCATGTGGCCTGCGGGCTGTAGTTAGAGGACGCCTGATCTAAAGGAACACCACCAAATTCTATTGTTTTTTATATTGACATTATAGGTGATTTCTGTCCTACTTCACAAACTTTTTTGAATTAAGAAAAGTGAATAGGCTCGGCGCCTATAGCTCAACCAGCTAAGGCGCCAGCCACGTACACCTAAGGTGGCGGGTTCGAATCCTCAGCCCGGACCGCCAAACAACAATGACGGCTGCAACCAAAAAACAGCCGGGCGTTGTGGCGGGCGCCTGTGGT